TTCTAGGAAATTTGGGTTGAACTTGGGTTGAACCTAAGGGTTAGGTTGACTTAGGTTCAATTTGGGTTGAAGCTAAGTTTAGTTAACTTAGGTTCAGTTTGGGATGAACCTAAGGTTTAAATTGACTTAGGTTCACTTTGGGTTAAACCTAAGGTTTAGGTTGACTTAGTTCAAATTTGGTTTGAATTTAAGGTTTACGTTAATTAGGTTCAATTTGTGTTGAACCTAAGGTTTAAGTTGACTTGAGTTCAATTTAGGTTGAACTTAAGGTTTAGGTTAACTTTTATTCAATATGGGTTGAACCTAAGGTTTAAATTGACTTAGGTTCACTTTGGGTTAAACCTAAGGTTTCTAAGGTTTAGGTTGACTTACGACTTACGTTCAATTTGGGTTGAATCTAAGGTTTAGGTTGACTTAGGTTCAATTTAGGTTGAACTTAAGGTTTAAATTGACTTAAGTTTAATTTGAGTTGAACCTAACGTTTAAATTAACTTAGGTTCACTTTGGGTTGAACTTAAGGTTTAGGTTGACTTAGGTTCAATATGGCTTGAATCTAAGATTTAGGTTAACTTATGTTCAATTTGGGTTGAACCTAGGGTTTAGATTGACCTAGGTTCAATTTTGGTTGAAACTAAGGATTTAGGGTTAGACTCAATTTGAGTTAACCTTAAAGATTTAGGGTTATTTCACTTGAGTTAACTTTAAGAATTTAAGGTTAGGTTTAATTTGAGTTAACAATAAAGATTTAGGGTTAAGTTCAAATTGAGATAACCCTAAGGATTTAGGAGTAGGGTTGGATCTAATATGGGTTAGATCCCAACATTTATGACTAGGTTCAAGTTAGGTTGAACCTAGGTTTATGGTTTAACTGAGTCTAATTTAAGTAGAACTTAGTGAGATAATTAGGTCTTACGTAGGTTAGACCTAACTAGGTTTAGAGATTAATTGCATCTAACTTAAGTAAGACTTAGTAAGATAATTAGGTCTGATGTAGGTTAGACTTAATTTGATTTAAGGTTTAGCTATGCCTAATTTAAGTAAGACTTAGTAAGATAATTCGGTCTGATGTAGGTTAGACTTAATTTGATTTAAGGTTTAACTAAGTCTGATTTAAGTAAGACTTAGTAGGATAATTATGTCTGATGTAGGTTAGACCTAATTTAATTTAAGGTTTAAATAAGTTTAACTTAAATAAAACTTAGTAGGATAATTTGTTCTGATGTAGGTTAGACCTAATTAGTTTAAGATTTAACTAAGTCTAATTTAAATAAGACTTGGTAGGATACTTAGGTCTGATGTAGGTGAGACCTCATTAGATTTATAATTTAACTAAGACTAATTTAAGTAAGACTTAGTAGAATAATTAGGTCTGATGTGGGTGAGACATAATTTGGTTCAAGGTTTAACTAAGCCTAATTTAAGTACGACTTAGTAGAATAATTAGGTCTGATGTAGGTTAGACATAATTTCTTGCATGGTTTAACTAAGTCTAATTTAATTAAGACTTAGTAGGATAATTTGGTCTTATGTAGTTTAGACCAAATTAAGTTTAAGGTTTAATTAAGTCTAATTTAAGGAAGACTTAGTAGGATAATTATGTCTGATTTAGGTTAGACATAATTAAGTTTAGGAATTAACTAAGTCCAATTTAAGTAAGACTTAATAAGGTAACTAAGTATAATGTAGGTAAGACCTAATTGGGTTTAAGGATTGAGGTTGGATCTGAGGTGATTATACCCAAAACTTAGGGTTTGTTGGGTCCAAATTGATTAAACCCATTATTTTGAGTTAGGTTGAGTCTAAGATGGATAAACTCAAAATTTAAGGTTGGTTGGGTCCAAACTGTCTAGACCCAACAATTTAGGGCTAGGTCTAGACCTAATAAGCCTTAGAATAGGTCTTAGACTTACACCTAACTAGGTTAAGTCTAATGTGTAAGCTATTATACCAAACTTAGGTTAGGCTAAACCTAAACTAGGTTTAAATTTAAATTAGATTAGCTCTAGA